AGCGGTTTAAACAGAAGAAAGCAGAAGTAATAGCAAGTTTGAAGATTGGAACTTTTGAATCATTTTGTTACAGGTAATAGGTGTTTCTATATTAGAGAACATGCTAGTTGCAAATTGTACTTGAAAGCACATTCTGCTTTTCAAATTACAAAGTAAGTTCTTTCTGTTCTGTATTATCATTGGCAAAATGTTTTAGAACTGTAACTGTAGAAAAACAGTCAGAATTGCTGAAAAGAATATGTCCCAAGCCTGACAACACTTACAGATCCAAAGTGGGCTGGGCAAGACAGTCAAACACTGTAGATAACATGGTGTATGAATACACGAAACTTCCTGCATATACTGCAAAGAGTCAGAGTACATGCACAGCTGGTTTGTGCAACTACAATGTCCATTTTCCAGATCCTGGGCAAATTAGGCTGTTGGAATCTGGAAAAGCAGTAGCACAAAAGGTGAGGCAACAGATTACCAGTAGAAGCAGTAGGCTTGGCCACTTTGTGGATTTTGGGAGGGTTTGTTTGTTTAAGCACATAACCACTGTAGTCACTGGCTTCATGAAGCAGAAATGATGGAAAGGAGCCTCCTCTAACGCTTAAGACTAAAGCTTACAGCATGTAGAGAGCATAGGGAATCACATGTAGTTTTACAATGTTAGAAAATTCCTAGTGGGAGAAATAGAGACCAGAACTGTTTCATTATGGTATAGATCACTCCTAAAATGGTCTTGGAAGTATCATATCTTCCCCACCCCTTTCCATGTACAGAAAGTATTATGCAAGGACACCACTCTGGTGGGTGTGGATGGGGGTATATGTAGGAGAAATATTCTTACATACATAGGTGAATCTTCATGAATATGCTTGACTTCTGGCACAAAAGCAAAAGGAGTGGATTTTACCACTCTATCCAGGGCCAATATATTCCTCTTCAAAAGGATGTACTAATATTGGATAAATGATGTCAAATCTGTATGCTAGGTGCTAGGCTTTGGTATTCTATTGCTTGGTTCTCAAATACCAATACAGTAGTTCATGCTAAAACACAAGGCTAAGTTCCGCTGAAAAGGACTGTTTCTACAAGGATTTGTGTTGATGTTTCTATTGTGGTAGCACATGATAGCTTTGATTTATGAATCAGAACCCTATTATCATAGTCTCATATTCTGGAAGAAAACATAGATCCTGACCCAGAGATCTAAGGCAATTAATAACCTGAATTCCAAAACTATTTGTTTTGCCAACATACAGTTAAAATTGACATGAATGACATGGGCTGACTGCCTATAAATACGGTTACCTTAAAATTGCACACAGCTCCATTTACCTAGTTTGTGAATGAAGCTGTATGTAATTTCATATATATGCATATATATTAAATATGCCTATATGGGGGGGGCAGAATTGAAGAATAAATGCTACTGAGTATATTTGATCAGTAATCAGAAAGCACAGGGAAAATGTACAATATTTTGTGTGTGTCTCTAACAACTACCATGTTTTAAAAAATTATTGCTTAAGCTTTTCAATATTAGCTGAAGCATTAATATAAATAATTTTATTTCAAAGATAATGAACATGTTTAGTTAAAATCAGGCTTCTTATTTTAAAATTGTACGTAAATGTAACTTTTACAAATGAGAAAGTATTATGGATGTTGGCTTCCTTAGGCTTGTTATGGGTTTAACTTTTACCTTTTAATCATGGTTGGAGCATTCTGATCTTGTATAGTTTGTTTTTGAGTATCTAGTATTTCAATAAAGCGGCCCTGGCAGCCAAGCAGGATCAAGTTGAGGCAGAAATCCAAGGTTATCCAAAACGGTTCCACCAATGTTCACTGACGTAAACTCAGGTGTCAGAAATTCAGGCTGGCAGAATACTGTTTCAGTGGTTTCAGAGTTTAGTATGAAGGCCAAAGTCCTGCCTCCATAGTACTTGTAGATGGCTTACCTTGAAAAGAGGATCTCCTCACTGCAGTAACATGGGAAACATGCACTGTGCATTCTGAAAATATAATTAAGAACCTGAGAGAAAATTCATTATACTTATTGCATATTGAACTTTATTAGTTAACATTTCTAAGCTCATGCATGATTGTAATATACAGATGCTACTCAGAAATGGCTTTTTCTGTCAAAGCACTCTGGCAAGAAAAGGAGATGCCATCTGCTTTTTACATTGCACTTAAAAGCACAGAGATACGTTTTTTTCAGTCGTACTCCAAGAAGCTGATGGAGCAGAAAAAAAAAAATCAGCAGAGGTTGGTGTCTCTTGCCTTATTAAGCAATGCTTTTCATGGATGTGTTAACAGCTATAACTCTGAAATGTGTTCTAATGTCTAAGGGGTTTTACAGAAGACTTGCTGGAATTATTAAAGGAGAATGCTGCTTAATACTCTTGTGACCTCTTAATTCCCTGGTCTGTTTTTAATGGAACTGGGTAATTCTGCTTTCTTTGCACCCCAGTGATAATATAAAGAGGAGGTTTTTTGACTGTTCAGAATCTAGGTCAAACTTTTCTCTTGTGGGGGAGGGAAGAAGAGACTTCCCTGATTCAGAGTCCTTCCAGAAAATCTAGTCTGATCAAGAAACAGTGCTTTTTCCTCTCAGATTTGTAGTCAGCTTAATTCTTTGTAATCCTACTAGGAGCAAATTAGCAACATGTTGCATTTGAATCTCCTTTCGCATGCACCCAGTGTAGCTTGCAAAATGAGGTTGACGGAGAAGGTCTGTTTCACTCTCTCCTGTGCACTTACAGATGAGGTGGACACACTTGATTCTTCTTTAAGAAGTAGAAATGCCTTCATGGGAACACCAGAACCTTGCAAGTATTTTTTTACTATTATTATTCTGCCTGCCCCGATGCAATTCTTCTGCGTTCATCCAGAGCAGAATCATCTAGAGATCCTCACCCTTTCTTTCCAGCTAACCTCTAACTTGCTGCCCTCCAAGAGGGTTGTGTGTAGCCTCCCCATGCCTCTTCCCATGGCCAGGGGAAAGGCAGTGTAGAAAGCAACCTTTCTGACGTGTACAGGTTGCAATGAAATGACATGGGAAGCGGAGGGCTGGCTACGTGAGACACACAAATCTATTTCCTTCTCATCCCTCGTCCTCCTGGATGTGGGCTCAGGCCTGGTCCATTGCTCAAACCAACCTGATGCCTCTTTGACAGCTCCGACCATAGCCCGCCCTCGCCCCCACCTAGTCACAGCGCCAAGAGGCACGAAAGGCACCCGGGAGGCCCTTTCGGTCTTCTCAAGCTCCAGCCTCAGCTCGCTTTTGCCGCTGGTGTAGCGAAGCCGTGGCCTTGGAGGAGGGACTGTGGCGGCGGCGGCAGCAGCGGGGAGGTTACAGAGCTGCCGCCGCTCGCAGGCAGCGGGTTATCCCCTCCCCGCCTCCGTGCGCCGGGACCAGCCGTGCGAGAGCGGCTGCACGGCGAGCCCCTTTCCTCCCGCCGCTCCTGCCGTTCCCCAGGTAAGTTCTCAGCCCCTCGGCCTCCGTCCCCGGCGGCTGGAGAGGTAACGTGGGGGGCTGTTGGCTGGCTCTGCGGGCAGGAAGCTGTTGGGGAGGCGGGGAAGGAGGTTGCATCAGGGTTTACTTACGTCTTTTTGTGGATGATGATGCGTGGTTTAGTAGCTGCTCTGGCAGTGGTGGTGGTATTTTGTTTGTATTCCCTTCTGTACTGTGTGTGCGCAAAGCAGAACGTTCATGGTCACCAGGGCAATAGAGCTACTGATACAGGCATGTGCATGCTGTCCCCGTCAGTCATCTCTTCAGTTCAGCTCTCCCTCTCTTTCCTCCTCCCTGCTCATTAATAACAAGTGAAATGAGAGGAACTAACAAAAAAGTTTCTCATTTCAAAATAAGGAAAGTATATTTTACAGGGAGGGACTAAAATACTAAGAACTGGCTGGTTTCCATGGTACAGGCCTTAACCCTGTGGCATGAATTCTGCTCCATGATTTCTCAATCGCTGATTTTGTTTGTATAAGGGGGTGAAGTTTAAAAAACAAAACAAGCCCCACCCCCACCCCCCCAAAAAAAAACCCCAAACAAATACCATGAATCAAAAAAACCCCTCACCCTGATGTGAGTAAACTAATTAACTATTCACTTTGGTCTCATTAATCCAACTGACTTTAGCAGTATCAAGAACCTAATGTGGTGAAGACCTGTCACAAAATGGGTAAGGACAGCACATAGGCTATCAGACTCCTCATTCGCACCTTGAAACCATTTCTGCTAAACAGAACATCTAATATCCTTGCTCAGTCAGTCTTTCCTTTCCTGTGTGCTACCGTGAACAATGCATTCAGGAGCTGAAGCTGTTGTGAGGTGGATCGGGATTTCTCAGAAGTATGAACGTATTTCATGTCAACAACTACATGACCCCAGGTACTGGCTCGTTGCCGATGCAAAGCTGGACGGAGAGCGGTATCCTTCTGTCCCTTGCGCACATGCACCGCTTTCATAACCACAAAATTAAGTATGCATACCCTGGGGAAGTGGTTGCTGAAAGGAAGGAGGTGCTGGTAGGTTGTTGATACCTTTCTATTCCAGTTAATAGACTGGTACTTGTGGATTCCCATCCCCAGTGAAAAGCTGAACAATCCTATGGAGAAAAAAACTAAGCAGCAATTATTTAATTAAAAAACTTTGAC